AAATATTAATGAGAAGTGATACAAAACCTTATAATACTGTCCGTTATGAACGAATTTGAAAAAAAAAAATTCTGAAAAGATATACTTTTAGTTTCCATAGAAACTTTATCAAAATCGATTCAACACTTTAGTTTTTAAATTAAAATAACTAATTACATGACATAGATATAGATAGACATGCACAGAGAAAAAAGATAAAAGAATACATATACTAAAAATAAAAAAAAAATGCATATGCATTGTATTTATTACTCTTATTAAATTTTCTTAAATATCTCCTACTGTTTATAACTCACAACTTCATTTACATGACCGGGATAAAACGTAGCACATATCCTCCCTCCATCCCATTTAGTAAGTGTATATCACAATTTCATAAAGAACATTAGTTTTACTTGTATCTACACTAATATTATAGAGAGGAAAGATTTGTATTTTTGTGTGTATGTTTGTAGTGAATAAACTCAAAAACTACTTTGCCGATTTCAAATATTCTTTCACCATTAGAAAGCTGCATTCACCCTGAGTAACATAGGCTATATTTATTGCTAGAAAAGATTAAGGATCCTTACTAAAACTTTAGTAACGTAACTCAAGGTGTAAAAAAATGCTATAAAATATCTTTGGTCGCGTGCGCTGCGGAAACTATTGGTGATGGAACAAAAGTATGTTCTATAATATTGAAGAAAATATCAATAACTACAAAAAAATTCGCGATACTACATGTCCAACTATTATCGTTATATCACAAAAATCACTTTTTAAAATGTTGTAAAAATGTCCACGCTTGCCAAGCCGGGACGGGCCGCTAGTAAATAATAAATTTCATACAGTTAAGTTCAAGCGCTAAGAAGTAACAAACGAACAAACTCACTTTCATTTCTATAACAATAATAAGGGGTAGTTAGAATAAAGATGTACATACAGATTATATATATACGATATATAGAGATTGTGAACAAACTAAACAGAGAGTGTTTGTTGAGCGGCCGTCGTGCACGAGCCCCTACATCAGCCTTCGCAAGGCACAATGTCGTTTCGTGTCATTGTCAACGGGCGGATATATCAGCGTGCACAAAGCTAGTACAACTTTATACAACCGCGCATGTACTATACTCACTACTATATACTACAGCGATTTGTTGTACGTCCGTCCGTAAGTTATCTCACGTACACGATACGAGAAGGGCATTGTTCTAACATATTTTGACAATATGTTACAATGTCTTTATGTTTACTATTTTAGTTTACTACATTATTCTGCACAATGAATTAAATGTATATATACATATATGTATGTATATATTGTATGTATATATGTTGTGATATTATGTGTTCCATGTAACTGTTAATTTTCTTTTTGATGGGTGAAAATGGTATGGTGACCCCGCCTGCGATAACGGGATACGCCGGCGGAGCACCAGTGAAGAGTTTTAGATGAGAATGAAAACAGGCCAATTAGCCCATTATGATGAATTCATAAGAAATTAACCGTGATAGTTTTCAGGGAGAACCGCGAGGAGGTCGACCTGGCTGGGTATATTGCTAGCAATGGGATTCTCAGTCTCCATTACTAACAATCCCTTTCCCCCCTGTAACTGTTAATTAGGTATATCAATTTGTAAGTCTGAACTTACCCCTTCGGTATGTAATCATATAAAATCACTTAAGATTGGAGAACTCGTTTAACAGTGATTTACTAATGCCAATAACATTTAAATACTGTTTCTGTTCACTAGTATTATAATAACGAAGCTCAATTAGGTCAGCTTAAACCACTTGATAACTTTCCTTATTCCACCTCTCCACACACGCCGTTTGCCGTCACCATCTCATCTTTATGTACCTACATTTTATTGATAATATTTATAATTCGACTGCCCTGTGACTACACTGTATTGACAGCTAAACATATACGAGGTGAATAGATCTTCCGTATCATAAATAGTTCCTATATATATATATATATATATATATATATAGGGGGGGTATCATGGATGAAATAGTATACTCTGTTATGTCCATGGTACTGCTCATGTGTATAGGCGACGGTTACCACTTTCCATCAGGTGGGCTGTCAGCTTGTTTGCCATCTTAAGTTGTATAAATGTAGCTGTGTGGTCCCGACATAGAATAGCTCATCAAAATTCAAATTAACTAACCAATCATATGGACTACCGCGAAATATATACATAATTTAATAAAATATTAGTAAATACCTTATAGATAGATAGATAGATAATTTAGTTACATTACTTGCAGCACATAAATCATAACAGACATACATAGACATACACAAAAAGCGAGATAAAAGAATATATATATACAAAAAATTATTTACAGAATGACTTAATTTGCACTCTATTATTAATTAGCACTTATATGTATGTATTAAATGTGATATATCTTGTACCCAATAGTAATTTTGCATGCTTTAAACTATAAGGTGAACATGTGTACTTCACTATGGATCAATATATATATATATATATATATATATATATATATATATATATATATATATATATATATATATATATATATATATATATATATATACACATCTATCTCTTTCCATTTTTATATTTTAATTTTTGTTACAAAGTGGTCTTAGAGCGAGTTAAATTATTTTTTCCAAATCATAAAGCTACAAAATACTACCCGACTAATCCTTACAGTATAAAATTTTTATCCCCGAAATTAATGAGACGGCGAATGACACAGGCTACTCTTTGTTCCGGCCGATCAATCTCTCTTATCTATTTCAAACACTCGCTTCTCGAAGCAGTTGTTGGTGTTAATTTTAATTTATTTCCATATAAAATATACTAGCTTTTATTCGCGACTTCGTTAGCGTGGCCGTTATAAGAATAGCCTATATCTTTTTCTCAATCATATAGTGTCATATAGTACGTGTATACCAAATTTCGTAGTGATCGGTTAAGCCGTTAAGGCACTATAAAGTAACAAACAAACTCACTTTCCCATTTATAATATTACAAAAGATATTTATTTACTTATTTACACTTTATTGCACCAAGTAAAAAGAGAAATAACAAGTACAGTAAATATTAATGAGAAGTGATACAAAAGGCGGCCTTATCGCCAAGCAATCTCTTCTAGACAACCTTTGGGTAGAGGACATTGAGAAAAAGACAAAGGGTAGGTGGCGCACTATTATATAAATATTATCATACACAAACATATATACATACATACACATACATAAATGGCGAGCTTAATGCCATATGGCATTCTCTACCAGCTAACCATTGGGTGAAAACAGAAAGCGTACGAAGGGCAGATGTGGTGAAAAATATGTGACAATTGTAGTAACACATTAAGGCAATACACAATATAAATATAATATACACATAAGAAATGCACATATAATACATAAACATTACTTTAAATATATATGGATAAACTAATACATATGAAATATATACATATACATATATATATATATACATATACATATATATATATATATATATATATATATATATACACATATACATAAATTAAAACAACGATAAGCATTATGAGATATAATAATCTGTAACTAGAGCTGGTTTTGTTGACTCAACAAATAATTAAAATTTTGTAAATAATTATTAAATTATATAATAAATTAATTCATAGAGATAATAAATTAATTCATCAGATCATGTCAGCCTTTACCTGTCCATTGTCCACTGCTGAACATAAGCCTTCCTCTTAGTGTATTTTACCAATAGTTGCCACACTTGTCAGGCGAGTTGACAACCGTTTGGCTTTGGAAATGTTTTAAGAGGAACGCTGTTGCCCATCCCTCGTCTCTTAGTCGCTTCCTACGACGCCCACAGGAAAGGAAGGGGTGGCCTATTCTATGCCGGGACCACGCGGCTATTAATAAATAAATTAAATATTTAAAAAAAACACTCGTACATGTTTACAGGCGACAGTTGCCACTTTTAAGCCGTCTGCTTATTTGCCATTCTAAGTATTATTTATTTATTATTATAATGCATTCACGTACACAATATAGAGTTGTTACAATGTTCTTATGTAGAGTAAGTACATGAAACCCTGTTTGTTATTGTAAAAAAATAATCTTGGGTTATTTATTAGAATAAATAAATATTTTACGTATATATTAAAATTTTAATAGTTAGTGTGAATATATGTATATTTGACGGATTTAACACCGGACGATGTTCTTTACTAGTCAACTATTGGGCAAACAGAGACATATGTAGGCGGCGCATTCATGAATCGAGGAAACATAAAGTAACAAAACAAAAGTAACGTAATATGTATATATTTAATTGTGTATATATTATATATGTATGTGTATGTATGTATGTATGTATATATGTTTGTATATGATAATATTTATATAATAGTGCGCCACCTACCCTTTGTAAGTAACATTACCATTATTTAAAGATTCATAACTTGTAATAAAATATAATGCACAATATATTTTATTACAAAAATAATAATTATTTATTTATTTGGCCAATATTTTATATATAATCTACAATATATTTTAAACTAATCGAGTATTGTCGACAAATCTTACCAGAGGGAGACTTTGTACAAAAGTCGATTGCTTAGGTACCTCTGTCCCATTCGTATTTCAACCGTTAAGTAGTTGTGTTTGCATGGCTGTGTTTCGGTTTGAACGGTGGGATATGGCGTGAATTTACTGGGTACAGAGGAATAACACCTGAGTCCTCAGGAATGGCAACGGGGGGTATCATGGGCGAAACAGTATACTCTGTTATGCCCATGGTACTGCTCATGTCTATAGGAGACGGTTACCACTTTATATCAGGTGAGCCGTCAGCTTGTTTGCCATTCTAAGTTGTATAAAAATAAAAAAAAAACAAAAAAACACATGCAAGTCAATGCGATTATTATTTTTGCAATAAGATATGTTATTATTAATAAAAATATATCACGAAATCATGAGTTAAACTAATATATATATATATAAAAATACAAATACTTACAAGAAAGTCCGACCAAGTATTCGTAATTCGTACCGTTTCGGATGCGGGAGGAGCGATATAGCGCGTAACGTTAGGGCGGGCGCGCGTTCTACCGCCGACTGACTGAAGCTTTCAGATAAGCTGCGGCTACGGGCGAGCTTCGAAGCGCTTTTCATCTATTTGTCTGTACCTTGTTTCATGAAACGCTGAGATTCTTTTACTATAAATTTCAAAAAAAATGTAGAATTAAAATTAATTTTTAATATGAACGTCTTTTGTTATGTTTATGTTATTGTCGCCTATAGACATGAGCAGTACCATGGACATAACAGAGTACACTGTTTCGCCCATGATACCCCCCATGCGTTGCCATTCCTGAGGACGCAGGTGGGTGTTATTCCTCATTCACTTCTTACACACTCACGCATGTTATGACCATACTAAGACATTTTATTACTTCGCAACTTTTCCGTAACCTAAGGTACCAAATATTAATTTTATTTATTTATTTAATACTTTATTGTAAAGAATAATTATACATAAAAATATGACAGAAGTAATCAAATGTACAAAGGCGAGCTTAAATCTAAAAGAGTTCTCTTCCAGTTACTTTGAATTATTAAGATTACCTACTTTCCAAGTTGCCATCAGCTGTTATCTGTCCACTGCTGAACATAAGCCACCCCCGGGGGGAGGGGGGTTGTCAGCAGTTGCCACGCTTGGCAGGCGGGTTGGCAACCGCAGTTTGACTTTCAATGATGCTTTAAGAGAAACGCTGCTAACCATCCTTCTACCATAAACTCCCTTAGTTGTCTCTTACAACACCTACAGACAATAAAGGGGTGATCTATTCTATAGCGGGACCACACGGCTGCATACGTTTAATTTTATTTATTTAATAATAATAACTTTATTTCCTTAAACAAAATTAGCCTGTAGTACAATATAACTATGACTTCACACTAGGCAAAGCCTCTCTCGTGGAATCAAAGCTAGAAATTTAACAGTTATAGTGCGGCGAACTGGGTTAATTTAAATATGTGACATTGAATGTGAGTTTGGATATGCATTGGTGTTTGTATGGGTGTGTGTGTGTGTGCGTGTGCGTAAGTTAGTGCGTAAACATTTGGGTATATCTATATGTGAAGGTCGTAAACTTTTAGTTCTGTCCCATAATCTACTGACTTTAAATGCCATTAAATCTAACTACATCTGTTTTACTAACTATGATCGTACATAACCACAAAATAGATTTAATATAAAGATCCACAAATGCCGAAACTATCAAAATTTAAATTGTTCTTGCGCTACAATTAATAAGGTACATAACACCAAATACCTGGGAGTAATTATCGATCAGCGTTTATCTTGGCACCAACACTCTGAAATAATTATGAATAGAATTCGAAAGCTTATTTGGGTATTTAAAATGCTACGTCATATTACTACAAAAACCTTATTGCAGCGAATTTATGTCTCCTTGGCTCAATCTATCCTTGTTTACTGCTTAGCAATTTGGGGAGGGGCAACAAAAATAAAATTTCTAGAACTAGAAAGGGCACAGAGATCGCTGTTAAAAGTGATGTACTTTAAACCATTTCGGTTCCCTACTGAAAGCCTTTACTTAATAACCGATCTTCTGACAGTAAGAAAATTATATGTACTTCAACTTACATTAAAAAAACATAAATCGCTAACATATAATCCTGAAAAGAATAAAAATAGAAGAAAACACAAAGTAGCTGATACAATCACAGTTAAAACTACATATGCAAAAAGACAATACACCAGTCAATCATCAAAAATATATAACAATTTAAATAAAGAACTCGATATATATTCACTCAATTATCATAAATGTAAAAAGACTCTAGTTACTTGGCTTAAAGCCAAAAGTTACGATGAAATAGAAAATATAGTCTGGAATTAAAAAATAACCATATAAATAATAAATAAAAAGTACAAAAGTAAAAAAAAAAATAATAAAGAACACAAACTATATTATTATATATATCTATACCATACACACAAATTCACACATACACACACACACGACGCACGCACGCACGCACACACGCACGCACGCACACACACGCACACACACACACGCTCGCACACACACATACACACAAGAACAAGCACATACACGACCGCATTTATTATCACAAATAGACATTTTTTCTTTTTTTATGATATGTAATTTTTTTAGTATTATTGTATAAAAGTAAAACAAAGTAAAATTTTTAATGCTGATTAAGAAAAAAAGAAAAGTAAATTGTAATGATCATGAAATTTAATTATTGTTGTGAAGGAGCGGTTTCTCCTAACACAAGCAATTTTTGCTTAACAGGAGATACCAAACCCTGTAATGTAACTAACTACTTTTGTATAAAGAAAAAAATTTATTATTATTATTATTATTATTATAAATCACAATGCGCTTCTTAAGATTTTCTCTGTATCCTCGTTAGTACAAATATGTGTACATGGCGGACTTAATACTAAAAGCATTCTCTCCCAGTCAACCATAGAGTCAACCATTTGGTTTTTTAACAGTTTTTAATTATATTTTCGTAATAAGATATATTATATTTTATAATTTTCGCGTAAATCTATAAAATTTTATGAGTATCTAAGCGTACCATACCTTCTTCTTCTTCTTCTTACTACTACCCGTATCCCAATAATTATTTGGGGTCGGCGTAATATGTTTTTTATCCATATTACAAAAAGATTTAACCAACCCTTTTTGGGAACTAAACGTACCATACCATTAGATTTAATTCCAAAACGAATTAATGAATAAATGACTAGATACACTTTATTTAACGAAATCTGCTCAATTGAATAACTCTTTCGAGGATTTATTATATATTTAGTATAATATGGCAGGGAAACCCTAAAACGTGACAATCCAACATTCTGTCGTCCCGCATTGAAATTTGGAGGATATTGAAAAATGAATCCAATTTACTTGAATTTACTTAATATCGCGCTGGAGTGTTTGAACGGGCCGCTAACACCAACCGTGCTCACGTTCCAAAACCACTTCACAGCCTCAAAATGGGGAAACGATTTACTTGAGACTCGGCACGCGTCGCGTTTCACAGGCCACACTCGAAAATCCGTGGATAAATCTGTGTATTGATATTTTTACCACAACCAAAGCAAATTCTTCAAGCGTAGCACTTACTTTACCAGAGGGAGACTTTGTACAAAAGTTTTTTGCTTGGGCACCTCTGCTCCGAGTTGGGGGCCTGGATTCCTGAGATACAGATCTCTGATCTAGTTTGGGGTCCACTCTCCCACAAGTTTTACATACCATTGTAATTATACATATATAGTTGTATTTTTTTCATGTAACTGTATTTTTCTATAAAATTTGTGGAGAAAATAAATAAATAAATAAAATAAAAAAAAATAATAAAAATTCATTTTAAATATTTGTACGCCGGAAACAGCTGAATATGTTGGGAATTTATTTTCTACTGTCATCTTGTTGTACCGTATTCTAATAAATAAATTTATTATTATTATTATTAAAACTATTTACCTGTGTGAAGCCAGGTCGAATCACTAGTACTATATAAAGAAATACAATTGCCACGTGACCTCTCTTCCTCGACACAAACTCTGCGAAACTCCATTCTAAATTTCGTCATGAAGATAGAGTTGGTAGATTAATTAGGAGAGAACAGAGAGATGAACACTTTACTGCAAACTCGTTTTCTATTTACTTTAGAACTTCACAGTTAATATGCTAGCGGCTATCTGTTAGTTTGGTTTTTAGTTGATGTTTCTAAATTAATAAGATAGATAGATAATTTATTTACATTACTTACAGCACACAAATTACAATAAAAAAAAAACATACATATAATAAAAAGTAAAAGAGATAAAAGAATGAAAATAAAAAAGCACAAAACAAAAAAAAAACAAAATATATCAAGTAACAATTTGCTTTCTTTCCCTTCCTTCATGCCTGTGCCATAGTAACACAAAATGGTCACAACTCAGTATATCGCTTTGCCCTTAAAAGAGCAAAACACTGATATTCTGTTGTGGCCAAGAGTCAGTCGCGAAATTAATTATTAAAAATAATAATAAAAAGAAATATAAATAAAATTGGTTGTGTGTGTCCACTAAATTCGCCATTATAATTAGTCAATCAAATACCTCAACTATTTTTAATATTTATTCAATTAGAATTATTTTGCTTATTTATTTATTGGAAAACCAACAGCTTACAATTTGTAGATTCAAATAACAACAGTTTATCCATATAGAAAGCCAATATAAATATGTCGTGGCAGTAGTAATTACAAAATTTAGAAGGAAATCAACAACTATTTTAAACTATAGTACATCATAATTACTAGATTTCAAACAATAACGTAAAGAGTAAAACCATGAATGTTGTGTATGTGTGTGTGTATGTTTGTGTGTGTGCGTGTGCGTGTGCATCCATGTATAATAATGTTTCATTGTGGCATCAATGAAAATGACAAAATAATTTTATAAATAGTGAGAGTTGGATAGAAATAAAAAATAACAATCTTTAAACATACAATTTTTACATGTAGCCCACGCTCGCGTCACAACCGCTCATGACTAAGAATCCCGGATGGTTCCGAAACTAGTTGAGCCCTTTTGACTAAAATGCAAGTAAGTTCAACTGGTAGTTATTACGTTAAATTATAATATGTATTTATAAAACTTTTAACAATAACATTTTTCATGTATTTTTTACACTATATTCGACAAGACAAACCCAAATATTTTTTAGGTGTGCATCAAAATGTATGTATGTAAAATATTAACAACCTATTTTTTTTTTATTTTTACTTATGGGCACTTTAATGGCTCTAATAATTCATTATTAAACTTGGTATACGCAGAGTATTTCGGATGGGCATGAATATTGACTATTTTTTATCTTGTTTAGCCACTTCCGGTCACATGAACGATGTCGCGATTAAAAACTTGTATAAATAATAAAAATCATTATACATTATGAGACAGCACTATCCAATCCAAATAAAAAAAATCTCCATAAAATTACATACAATTTACTTACCTATTATATCGTAAAATTATACAATATTG